AATTTGCTTATTTTAGTATTTGTGTATAATTTAATCATAAAATAAAAATATTGAAAATTCAAATATTGTCAAATATCAGAATCATCAATATGACCATACGAAACATGTTATACACATTATTGTACCTCGTGTGGCCTGACTTTAAGGGTGTCCTGAAAAATGTATTATATTTTTGCAAAATTTTGGAATACATTTATTTCGTAGAAAAATGTTAACATTTGATTTTAATACAGATTTCAGTCCTCTACAAATAGTTTCTTATGACTATTGATGTAAAATAATTAGAGAAGCAGGAATTTAACAATTTAGAATTTTCCATTGAGTTTCCTGTGGCCCGCTTGGCGATTCACCACCCGGTATACGATAACGTAAACAGTTATATCAAAAATAGTAGACTTCTATCTGTATTGATTTGAAAAAATAAATGTCATTTTTATCCCGTAATAAATGAATAGGCATGAAAATTAGATTAGATTACAATTATTATTTATACAAAATACGTTCAAAAGTCATTGAAAATGTGTCTACTCAACTAATTTATTCTGTTTATAAATATTTGTATAGGCGAATAAATTTTCAATTGTCATCCAGATAGGGTAACGGGTAGAGTGATTGGCCACTTAAGGAATTGCCAATTCAATTAAAATTGTAAATTTGTATGTTTTAAAGTAAAATATATTGTAAGGGTTCTTTAACAGTAATGAAACTTCAGATTTTATAAAAACTCAGGTTATTTTATTCAGAAATATTGCATATTAAAAATAAACAGAAATTTGAAAACTTACAGAACTACACAGTTATAGGCCATACAAACATAGTTATTGACATAAAGAATTAATCATTGGCCATTCATAAAATTCCTAATTTTATTTTTTTGTTCGTGCAGGTAAGGCACACAAAACTATTATTTAAGTTTTCAATTTCTTGTTGTTTCTTTGCACAATTACCAATATGGTAGCCTCTAACACAAAATAGACATTATATTCCAACTTTTGATTTAGATATATTATAGGAACAAGAATAACACAATCCTATATACAAAAGGCTATTTACAGGTGGGTTGGTGTCGTCTAATTGTTTCACCGTTATATCTGAGAGAATTTGTATTTTTTCATGTACTGGATATCCCTCAGTTTAAAAAAATAACTTTCTTTAGACGGCTTGCCAGCACGTTTTTCTTTGCTGGTTTCCAAATTTGTACATTTGCTTTGGAATGTATTCTTCAAATTTGATGAATTCATATTGTTGCAGACATAAAAAAATATGTTATCAATTGTGGGCAGATTAACGTTTTCCTCTACAGAATCAGGAAATTGGCTTCGTGACAGATCTTGTTTTTATTTTTGACAGTTCTATGTACTCTAAATCCACTTTTAAAAGTAGTGCTTTTAATTGTATAATCAATAAAAGTGTATTCTTTCAAACTATTTGTATCTGCAATATCAACTGTATTTACTGTAACATTTTCTTTATTCTTCACAACAGTTTGACATTTTTACCTTCCGGGATTGACTCTTGTGGCATTTTTTTTATTACTTTCATCTTGATTTCCTTGTTTTTTTACCTTTATTATTAGGTTTTGCGTCAATTCACTTTTGTTCTCGTTCTAATTTTATTTTTTCTTGTTCTGCTTTTTCTTCAATTTTACGCCTCTGCATTTTGACGATCTGAAGAAGTGAGCAGTAAAGCCAACCTTTCTGTTTGCTTTTTGCCCTTGCTTTCTGGGGTTTTTTTGGCAAAAAAAAGAATTTGTTGATTGAGGTGTAAATTTCTTTAGATAATGAGTTGTCTTAATTAACTAAAGGCAGATTATTGGATATAGAAAGAATATAGATTTTCTTCTGTAATAACAGGAATATCTTGTAAGTTGCATATTATTTTATTGCCACCTACAGGATTAAGTGTAATATCTGAAGATATATGAGTTTCTGTGATGATAGAGGTATCTTGTATATCATTTGTGATTCCACCTGTCTCTAGTCTGAATCGTGGGTAGATTTATTTATTTTATTTAGCGTATGGCTACATCACAGGTTCATATAAATATAAATATATAAATTATATAAATTATATAAATTACAAACAACAGTAAATATAAAAATATTATTCTACAAACAAACATCTAGATTATAAATATATTCGATTGACTCTTTTGTAGCAGCCAGGAAATCTGAAGGGTTGCCATTATAGGATCTAATCGGGCATTCCTCTACCATGTGTTTTACTGTTTGCCTTTCAGCGCCGCAGTCGCAATTTGGTGATTGTATTTTTCCCCATCTAAAAAGTGAGTCGGAACATCTGCCACAGTTCGTCCTTATTCTATTGAGTGTGGTCCAAATTCGTCTCGGTTGGTTGAAGCCCTCCTCAGGTTTGCTTGTAATACATGGCATGTTCCAGTTAGCTGGTGCAGCGTTATTCTCCCATTGTTTTCTCCACCGTTCAGTTACATTAAAGTTTTGATCTACTAGCCTTTTTGCTGTTTTTAGAGGCGGGTGTCTTGAACGGAGCCTATTTATGTCTCTGGCGGAAGTTCCGACATGGGAGCGGAGCTCAGGATCAGTATTGATTTTTGTAAATTCTCTGACAAGGGCATGTTCCCGGCGGATGGGTGGTGGAGCTATATGACTCAAAGCTGGTAACCAGTAAGTGGGCGTGGCCTTGATTGTGCCCGATATAGTTCGCATGGCTTGGTTGAGTTGGACATCAACACGGTGAGTATGTGGACTGTTTATCCATACTGGTGCACAGTATTCCGCTACGGGGTATACCAGTCCTAATGCTGTCGATCTAAGTGTGGGTGCTGAGGAGCCCCATGTAGTGCCGCAGAGCTTTTGCAGGATATTGTTACGAGTTCGGAGTTTTGCAGCAGTCTTAGTAAGATGCTCTTTAAAGTTCAGCGTTCTGTCAATTTTAACACCTAAGTATTTTGGGTGTTTATTATATTTAAGGAGTCTATCCCCAAAATTGATTTAAAGTTGATAGTTGGCCATCTTGTTATATAAATGGAAGCAGGATACTTTTGTCTTAGTTGGATTGGGTTGCAATCTCCATTTTCGGAAATAATTCCCTAGGACATTTAAATCGTTTGTTTTTTTTTCGCGATTTTACCCAAAAATAGATTAAAAGATACATCTATAGTTGGAGCACACATACATATTGGGTCCCAATCGCTTCGTCTTAATCCCCAGAATAAACTCTGACCCTTTGAAGAACCAAAAAAAAACTAAAAGCGTGGCAAATGGTTATTCGGTCCCTAAAATCGACGTTTTTTCATTTTTTTCGCGATTTTATCCGAAAATAGATTAAAAGAGACCTGTATAGTTGGAGTACACGTACATATTAGGTACCAATCACTTCGTCTTGATCCTCAGAATGAACTCTGACCCTTTGAAGAACCAAGAAACACCTGCTTAAAACGATTTTACCGGAAAATCAAGTTAAAATGACTTTCATTCGACAACTGAGTTTTCCAAAGGCGATTGGATCGTAGGAATTTATGATCAATGGTACGCAGGGGTAGTTGAAGAGGTAAACAACGAACATCTTGTAACAAAATTTCTCTCAACTACAAAAATGGCTTTTGTTTTTTGAATCGACCAGAACATACACAAAACGTTTTATCAACTCAAGTTTTATGTAAAATAGAATCGCCACAACGACCTAAATTTAGAAATAAAATAATGTACAATATCAGTGAAAATCAGAAAAAAAATTATTGAAAGTAATGTAAAAAATAATATAATTATATGATATATTTGGTATAATTTATATAATTAATATAATTTCTTTTTGAATCTAAAACAGTATTAAAATTTTGTTTATTTTATATTATTCGAGCTTTAATATTTACTGTTTCTGTTAAACACAAGATTATTTAATATTATATGCCAAGTTCTTTTTTATAATGTTTAATTAATGAAGAATGAATATATTTATACCATTATTAAATAGTATCTATCAATAATAAAAAATTTAGAGTATTTTTGATGTATTGTATTCTATGTACTTATTTATTTTTTTACTTGACTAACTTTTATCTCGTTCTAATACTTATACTAACAAAAAAAAAGTCAGGCTACATACTGAGGATCAAGCAGCAGCTTCCGATAGGTCCTGGACCTTACTTACGAAAGTCATTTTAAATTGATTTTCCGGTAAAATCGCGAAAAAATAAAAAAAAAAAACGTCGATTTTAGGGGCTGAATAACCGCTTGCCACGCTTTGAGCTTTTTTTTGTTCTTCAAAGGGTCAGAGATCATTCTGGAGACCAAGACGAAGCGATTAGTACCTAATATGTATGTGTGCTCCAACTATAGAGGTATCTTTTAATCTATTTTCGGATAAAATCGCGAAAAAATGAAAAAAAAAAACGTCGGTTTTAGGGACTGAATAACCGTTTGCCACGCTTTGACCTTTTTTTTTGTTCTTCAAAGGGTCAGAGATCATTCTGGGGACCAAGACGAAGCGATTATTACCTAATATGTATTTGTGCTCCAACTATAGAGGTATCTTTTAATCTATTTTCCGGTAAAATTGGGAATAATTGAAAAAAAAAACGTCGATTTTAATGATTGAATAACCGCTTGCCACGCTTTGAGCAGGTGTTTCTTGGCTTTTCAAAGGATCAGAGTTCCTTCTGGAGACCAAGACAAAGCGATTGGTACCTGATATGTACGTGTACTCCAAATATAGAAGTCTTTTTCACTCGTTTTTCAAGGCAGATTGCTAGAAGAATGAAAAGGTGCGGATTTTTGTAGAATTCCTCATAGAGAGGTTCGAATTATCGCTGGTTTGAATAAACGCGAGTCGACTGTACCTCTAAATGATTTTGATTTTAAAAACGGTCCATATAGAGGAGTTATCCGGCAAAGAGAGATGTCCGCCAAGAGAGAGTTTTCTGTATCTCCTATTTTTTAAATATTGAAATTGATATCATAGAAGATGATTTATTCATGTGTTAAATTTTTTTTGTTGACATTAATATTGATCTTTATTTTCAGGCATCTCTTCACTTGGACTATTCCTTCACTCCCACGATGCCCTTGGTAACCCAACTCATCCAATCGTATCACCCGACATGATGCTAAACTTCGCCGGAGAGTTATCGTTCTTCGACAAGGTCCAAAGTTTTCTGTACAATATTTGGTACAGGATATTTTATTACTGGTATGCACTTCCTAAGGCGGATAAGATTGCTAGGAAATATTTTGGAGAAGACATGCCTTACTTGGGAGATTTGGAAAGAAATATTAGTTTATTGTTATTAAACGTGAATCCTATTATTCATAATGTACGGCCGAATGTTCCGAATGTGATTGAGATTAATCAGATGCATATAAAAGAGAGAAAACCGTTACCTAAAGTAAGTATATTTTCCACATAAGTCCATTTTTTTTAAACCAATTCAGGATCTACATTGTATCAATAATGATGAGATGCGCCAGTCGTAAAGCTTGTGCTTAATTTTTTATTTAACAAAATCTGAAAAAAAAAAATCGAAAATTTTTGGTTTTTTGCGCCCATAATTTCGTTTCTACAATTCGAGAGGGTTAAAATGGTGACTTTTAAGGCATTTTTCACATATTTTTGAGTAGGTACCATAAAAACATTCAAAACTTATCGCTATTAAAATATTTTTTTTAGAGTAGTAGAGTAGAGTAAATTTTTATTTGTATAAATTTTTATACATAATTGAGCAAATAATGTCACATTATTAATTACAGAATATAAAATTATATTGACATCACACACTAAACCATATTAACATTACAAATTATATGCTGATCAAGGAGAAGGATAGGCCAGGCACTCCACCACAGTATAGGGCTCAATGTCAACTAGGTGTTGAAAAACCTTTTTTTTAAAGCTCTATAGTGTGTTTCCTGTTGAATGTCAGATCCTAGACTATTATTAAATTTAACACACGCATACAAAGGACTTCTCTTTGTTATAGACAATCTGTGAAGTGGCAAATTCAAATTAAGGCTTTTTGTATTATATTCATGATTGAGAAGCAGGTGATAAAACAAAGAAAGATTTTTAAAAAGGAACATAATATATTCAAGTACATAAATGGCTGAGAAAGTGAGTATATTGAGTGATTTGAATCGGCCTCTACAGTATTCTTCCACCTGGACTGCCTTTTTTGGACTATAAAGACAGTTGAACTGTCTACTGCAGCACCCCAGAAGGTACTCCATGTCGCATAACAGAATAAAAATTTGCATAATATACTAATAGTAAAATCCCCTGGTCTAGATAGCTCCTTAACACTCTATTAGCTTGCTACTCATTTTTTTTGTTGTATTTTGTAAAAAAACCTGCATTTTTTTGTTGTATTTGTTCCCCCTAATTCAGATTCTGGTCAATATGAAGACCAAGAAATTAGCAGGTTCCGTGTTTTGTGATAGAAAATTATTTTTATCTGAAAACTGTTCTCCTTACTGGATGGTTCTAAAGTAGACAAAAACTGTGTTATGAGTATTAAGCAACAACTGAATTCCACTGAACCACTGTTCAGCCTTGCTTAGAATTTGCTCTGCCACTGTGAGGAGTGTTTATAAAGTTTTTTCCCAGAAATGCACATTTGAGTCATCAGCAAAAAGGTTCGAGGAACTACTAACCACCGCATTTGGAAGGTCGTTTATGTGAGCCAAAAAGAAAAAAGGCCCCAAGACACCCAAGATTTAAAAATAGTGACCCGTCTGCCTTCGGAAACCTAATCGCCATTCGGGGTCGGAAAAAGCAAGAGGTAGTCAAGGGAGACCGATAGAACAGATTAAAGTCATTTTATCCAAGACAAGTTGAAGTAAGGTAAAATGTGAAGACCCTCATGATGTGCTAGGTGCCAACCATGAGAGTATGAGCAGCTATATTCTGCTGTTAATAGGCAAAATTTGTGCGCCGTTGTTCGTAATACACTTGGGTTAGTTCTCCAACTGGATAATGTTAATCTTTATAGCACATTCTTTCTAGTTTGGGTTTAGCTTTAGTATTTTCAATGTGTTGCTGTGTTGCTTGTAGTTCAATGTTGTCTGTCTGTCGTCACTCTGAGGTTATTAGGGAATGGACAATGTGACTCCACATTTCATTGAATGATCAGATTTTTTTATCTTTGTTGAGACGGAAGTGTGTTTTGTGCATTTGGGTGTAGCTGATTTCCCGTAGTATATTAAAAACAATTCAAGCTCGTCGGTGAGATATTCTCCTATGTCCAGAAGACTACTAGTTTGAAAAGCGGTTGCTCGATCATCGTTCTAAATAAATGTTTTTGGCGTATTACCGCGTTTGGGTTGGTTATTTTGGTATGTATTGAACAGTACTGGTACCCTGTTTTCTTGGGCACTACATCTACTTGTTTTCCGAAGTAGAAATGAGACGTCAATAAACTAGTAGTATATAATAAATAGTAATACTTTAAAATGCAACAATAAAATAGCTTCAGGGTATTCGATAGTTAAAAGTATCAAATGCAGCTGTTAGATCGATGAATACGACTCCAGTCTTTAATCCCTTTTTATATCCGCCCTTGATGTACTGGGTAAGATTAAATATTGTGCTAGTACATGACATTCCAGATCTTTTAGAAAAAAATATCAAAAACCACTAATTAAAGGATTTTTTCAACAAAAAATTGAAAATAACTCGAAAAAGAAGCATATTTTTTTTTTATTAAGAAGATATAAAAAGTATTTATTTCGATAAGATATGCTTAAAAAATTTTACTCAAAGCGATTTGGAAAATTGTTTTTTTTTTTGTTATTTTTGGTAATTCCAATTTTCGGCCCATTTGAAAGAATTAAAAAAAAACATTTGGTCCAGTAGAAATGCAAAAAAATTGGTTCTTTCTCTGCTTATATGAGTAAACCGCTCGTCCTTATTGCCTACACCATTATGTTTTAAAATAAACTTCGAAAGGTACATTAATAGCGGAACTACTGCACTATTTGATTCTTTTCAGGATATACAAGAATACCTAGACTCTGCTCCACAGGGAGTAGTTTACTTCAGTTTGGGATCAAATGTGAAAAGTGCCAATTTGACAGAGCAAGTAAGGAAAGAAATTGTTGCGGCATTGGGAGAATTACCTTACAAAGTTTTATGGAAATGGGAAACTGACTATCTTCCCGATAAACCTGATAATGTGATGACTAAAAAGTGGTGCCCTCAACAGGATATTCTTGGTAAGTAATGGTTTTCAATACTTTTTATTTATTGTATTATTTGTATTTATTACTTTTTTTTTTCTTTTCTTTTTAACTTTTCATGTTTTTTTTCCATTGATAAGTTAAAAAATATCTTTAAACTAATTATAATACCACGGAAAAATACATACCAGAAGGAATTCTAGGACAAAATGAAACTCCTAGCTAGAGAAGAAGAGGACCCACACCCACCCACACACACACACACATACATATATATATGTATATATATATATATATATATATATATATATATATATATTATATATATATACATATATATATATATATATATATATATATAGATATATATATATATATATATATATATATATATATATATATATATATATATATATATATATATATAGTCCGTCTAGAAAGTATCCGGAAAAAAGAAAGCAGAATTATAATTTTACGGTATTTATTTCTATCACTTGAAATATTAAATTTCAACAAATAATTCATCTCATTTACTTATACAACCTCCATTTAAATCTAAACACTTAACTAATCGTCCAGGTACGCACGAAACTAGGTCAAGGCCATAATTTTCGATAATGGTGTTCATGGCCTGTAAAACTGACCCAATTAAATCTTCTTTATTTCGCGGCGCTACTCGTTCCACATCAATCTTCATCAGTCCCCATATGTTTTCAATGAGGCTAAGATCTGGAGCTGCAGCTGGCCACGGAATTGTTGCCAATTCGTGTTCTTGCATCCAAGCGTGAGTATAAGCAGAAGTATGGCGTCATGCATTATCTTGCTGAAAACGCCACCCCTCTGGATATAAAACATGATTTGTTTCTAGAAGAAAACCATTTAAGATGTTAAAATATTTCGCACTATCAACAGTACCATTAACTATACAGAGAGATGTAGCACCACGCTGAGATATTGCTCCCCAAACCATTATTTTAGTGCGAAATTTGGAAATTTTAACGGTAACATTTTCTCTTGATAGGACTTTTAGATGATTTGCACCAAGCTGGAAACAACTTTCATCAGATATACAGACATTATTAAAATTATCTTCTCGAAAACGTTGACAAAAATCTATTCTTCGTTGTCTATGCAGAGGTGAGATTGTAGGGATTTTTTTGGATTTCCTTGATATGTAGCCTTCTTTTTTAGTGGCATGTGAACAGTTTTTGGGCATACTTTTATTCTTCGTTGATTTCCAAATCTGTTTGCTAATTTTCGAAACCCAAGGCGCGGATTTTGTCGTCCTAAAGCCAGTAAAGTATTTAAATTGTTTTTAATTGTTAAATAGTTGACGCGCGAATTTTACGCGTTCTACACGAAACTGGTCTATGTCTCATATCTATGCCTTTTTTATCCTCTTTATTATCTCATCCAATGCACTTTTTCCGAGTTCAGTCAATTGCACTATTTTTTTAACGTTTCTGACACCCTTTCTATACAAATATTCCACCACTTTTCATTTTTCTACTTGCGACATTATTTCACAAATCTTAAGTCTGTTTACAAACAACAATATTTGACAGATGGTGTTGTCATACAATTTTGTCCATTACCTACTATCGGCACAAACTACTTGATACATCACTTTTGGCTTAAAATGTAACAAAAAGAAAATCTATTAAAATTAGGAAAAATATAAAATTCCGGATACTTTCTAGACGGACTATATATATATATATATATATATATATATATATATATATATATATATATATATATATATATATATATATATATATATATATATTGAGATAATATTAAATATCGGAATTGTTTAGAAATATAGAATGAACTTAAATGGCGATTAAAGAAGAAATAATTTATAAGTTATATACTAGAGAATATTATAAAAAGTATTTATATAAGGGGATTCTTAAGAAATTAGCATAATAAGAAGTTTAAAAAGTTTTATTTGGCAATGTATTTGGTTATTTTAATAATTATGATATTATAAATATATTTGAGTACGCCATCTATATAGGAAACCAAATATACACTGAAGTAAATTTGGTTGTGGGAATTTTTGTAAATAAGAGACATTTGAAATAATAATTACTGATTTAAAATAGTGTTATTTATTAATTTAAGATGTTTAATTTATATATAAGTTTACATTCTGATCTAAAAAGCCTAAATTTCCATAAAATTTTCATAGAAAAGTAAAGAATTATCTAGGACTTTAAAATAAGACGTCAATAGAACGAATTTAAACTCTGTTTGTAGGAGAATATTCGCGAACAATGAAATAGAAGAATTTAAAGATATTTTTTTTTTCAAGAATATTCGTGAACATTAAATTGATATAAATACGATGTGATTTGGATTCAAGATGGTCAGTATTTGGTGGACAGTATGCAGTATTCAAAGGCCAGTAATCAGTGATTCAATATGTCAGTAGTTGGTATTCAGTAGTAAAGTTTTATAAACTTGGAAAGTGTATTGGATGGAGATTAAAAAAAATGACTGGTTTGTCCAATATATATAGTCAGCTACTTAATTCAAGAATACGTTCCCACAAATATGACAAAAAAAACTCAACCGCCCTCACAAAACATGAAAACAAAAAAAAACATAAATTTGATTTTGAGAAAACCAAGATTCTAAAAAGTGAATCCAACAGGAAAAAGAGAGAGCTTCTAGAGTCTATACAAATAAAAAAAATAATAACGCAATAAATGATAAAAAAGATGTCAACAATTTAAACAAAATATATTTTAACTTAATTTAAAAACACACAAAAAGTCAATCTCAGAACGCCTATGATGTTAAAATACTGATTGTTTAAACGATAAACTAATATCAATAAATAACACATTAGATTTAAAATACATTTTACTTGTAGTGACTTAGTGGGTATGTCCTATGTTTTAATATTATTTTAATTGTGACGTCTAATTGTTAATACCTAATATTTACATGCTTGTTAAGTCAAAAGTTTATTTTTTAAACCGTATTATGTCTGTCATGAAATGTTTTTCTTTAGTCAATATATATTCTTGAAAAAGGCATGGATTTCCTGCCGAAACGTCGGAAAAAATATATAAAAATGTCTTAGTATCAAACTAAATTTTTTTTATGAACCTAAGCCCAAGAGAATCCACTAAAAAATATATATTAAGGTTCAAGAACTAAATTCAAACTATATATATATACATATATATATATATATATATATATATATAATATATATATATATATATATATATATTTTATATACATATATATATATATATATATATATATATTATATATAAAATATATATAATATATATATATATATATATATATATATATATATATATATATATATATATATATATATATATATGTTATTTAAAAATACTCATTGCTCATAAAACAATACACAAACAAAATATCATAACAATTTGGCTGCCCTTCGCGTGGCTCTCTATTTAAAAGAATTAGTTTGGGAAGATAATTGCTCTCATATAATTAAATTAATTTTTATTAGAAAGAAAAAAATTATATATTTTATTTTTAATTATATTTGAACAAGTAAAGTATCAAAATGTCTTAAGGAAAGAAAGGTATAAGAAGCAAAAAGAATGAAGAAGATGTGGAAGTAGAAACATAAGCTGTACAAGAGGAGAGTTTAGTTCAAGTTCCACCAGATACTGTAGAAATGAATCAAGAAAGAGGAGAAAATGTCAATATGGCAGCTCTGATGTCATTAATGATGCAGGTGAACAAGACAATGGAAGAGAATTGAAAAGAAGACATGAAAAAAATGGAACAGAAATTGGACGAGAATTCGAAACAAATTGAAGAGAATTTAAAAGAAGTCAAAGAAGATATGAAAAAAATGGAACAGAAATTGGAAGAGAATTATAGAAAATTAGAAAAGAAAATAGAAGATAATAATAATAAAATTGTAAAACAAATAAAACAACAAATAGATCAAAAACTTGAAGCTGCAGATAAAAAAGTAGCAAATGAAATAAAAAATATACGGCATGACTATAAGAAAAGGATAGAAAATGAGAGGACAGAAGTAAATAGGATTATTCAAGATAATATGATAGATATAGAACAAAAAATGGAGTTGCAGAAATGTAACTTAGACGTTAAAATTAACGAAAATTGAAGAAAGACAGAAGAAAAATAAAACGATATGCAACAAAATATCCAAATAAATAGTAATCAAATAAAAAATGTGGAACAAAGAATAGATGATATTTCACAAATGAGAAACATAGAGACCTTACTTAAATTTAACAAATGAGACTGGGATTAAATTCTCTGGTAATATAAAAAAATTTGCATCCTAGAGTATACATAAATAGTTTAGAACATAAATTAAGATTAGTGAATAATACTAATGATATCAAAGATTATATTAAAATGGCACTAAGTGACAATGCGGCAATTTGGTTTGCCAATATTGAAAATGATTTAGAGAATTTTCAAACATTTGAAAATAAATTTTTAAATATTATTGGTGTAAATTAGAGCAAGTCTATATTTTGGAAAGTATAATCATAATTTAAGATTAAATATGATAAATTATGCATTAAAACTGATAACGGTTGCAAAATATTTAGAACCACCATCTAGAGAGGATGAAACAGTCTTAAATGTATCTAGACATTTTGATGCCGATGTTGTGCAAACAGTAATTGTACAAAATATTCAAACAATAGAGAGTTTTATTAATTTTATTCAAAGAATACAAAGAGGTAATATTGCAAGTAATAATGATAACAATGATATTAAGATGAATAATAATAATATTAGAAAAAACAATAATAACTTTCAATATAATAAGAATAATAATCAACAATATAGACAATTATATAATAATAATAAATATGGTAATAATTTACAAAATTTTAATAGCAATAACAATACTAATTATAATAGACAAGATTTGAACAACAGGAGAAATACAGAACGACCTAATTACAACCGACAGCTAAATTATTTATGAAGGAATAGAAGCTGCGAAGATAGTGAACGAAATAGTACAAGGCAAG